GAGACAGGGTTTCTCTGTGTAGCTTTGCACCTTTCCTGGAGCTCACTTGGTAGCCCAGGCTGGCCTCGAACTCACAGAGATCCGCCTGCCTCTGCCTCCCGAGTGCTGGGATTAAAGGTGTGCGCCACCAACGCCCGGCATATTCTCCTATCTTAAGTGCTGTAAATGCTATATGTGGATCTAAGTAGTTAGAGTGACAGGACGGTGGTCCTGTCTCTATTTTTTTTGTGTGTTATTTTATTTAAGATCTATCCAAGCATCATTCTGAGAAATTAGTTACAATACCTAATGTCAGTGGTTCTCAACTTTCCTAAAACTACAGCCCCCTCATACAAATTTCTCACGTTGTGGTGACCCCCAACCATAAAATTTTTCTTTGCTACATCATAACTATAATTTTGCTACTGTTGTGAATTATAATGTAAATAGCTGATATTTAGGATATCTGATACGTCACCCCCAAAAGTGTCACAACCCACAGGTGAAGAAACACTGGCCTAAATGAGCATATTTTAGCCCTGTGAGTACTTACATCCTAGAGTGCCAGAAGACATCTGAGCAAGTTTTGAGCTTTATTTAAAATCACCAAATTCACTAATTAAATTTAAACTATGTCCAAACGTATTAGATAATTAAGTTTAGATGCCATAGGCTTTATCAAATATTTGGCCAGGAATCTAGAGTGGTGCCAACATCCTAAATTTGGGGGGTTAAATTTCTGTGTATTTGGGGCTTCATGTTATTGTAGTTACTATTTCAAAGGAAGTTTTTATAAATGTACCAAAGCAAGTGGCAGAAAAAAACATAAGACAAAAACATCTTAACAAGAGATTAAAGCATATTAGTAAGTTCTGATGTCCTTGTCATATTTCAGTTCCTAACTTTGAATCATGAAAACTTAAAGAATTGGAGAATGTGCTTAGATTTTGGGCATTTCTTTCAGCAATATTTTTCTCTTTTAGCCTATTTTTATGTACATTTTGATGTATTTTCAGTAACATTTATACTCATGTGTATTTTGAAAATGATGGAATATATTTCTGTATTATCATTGGCCTTCTAAAGAACTCTTGCTGCCCTTGGTCTTTGGAGGTGAGACCAAAGATTACCCAGAGTGCGGGCCCCAGAGAGAGGCGCTCTTGGGAAATACTTAGGACAGCTATAATCATCTTTCTACTTCTTCCTGTTTTCCAACCTTCCTCATCTTCAGAGTACCTTCCCCTGCACTATTCTTCTCCCCTTTCTATAATCAGCATTCTAGAAATGGCTTGGCCAAGTACATTTTGTTGATGTGTCTCCACATTTGCGTTGAAAGGTTTAGTTGTATAATAAAGGAATTTAAATCAAGAGAAAGGAGCAAGGGAGGGTTCAGAAGGCCGTGGATATAGCTTGGAACTTATCATGAAGTTTGTCTTTCACACATAGTCATGAGAGGCAGAAACGGAACATCTGGTTTTTAATCCCAGATCATTTAAAACAGTGTTTCTCAACCTTCCCAATGCTGTGACCTTTTAACACAGTTCCTCATGTTGTGGTGGCCTCCCAGCCATAAAATTATTTTCATTGCTACTTCATAACTGTCATTTTGCTACTGCTATGAACTGTAATGTAGAAATATGATATGCAGGATATCTGATGAGAAATGTGTCTCTCAAGGGAGTTGTGACCCACACATTGAGAACCACTGACTTAAAGGCACATCTAGCCCTGGAATTCTAAATTTTATTCTTAGCAAGGCACATGGAAGTTTATAGTTTTAGAGTTAAAGACAAAGAACTGGGATCTGTGGACGAAGGAGCTCCGTGGTAGAGAATTTGATAACATGTTTAAGGACCTAGGTTCAGTTGTCACCACTGAAAAGAAATGAAAGAAAAAACAAAAAAACTGTGACTTGGATTTAGACTACAGCTACAGGAGATTTAGCTGTCTGTATCTCTATAAATACTCAGTTCCCAGAAAACTCTTAAATCTCCATAGAAATGGCCTCAGAGAAACCACACTATGTTTTCCTGCCAAGAGCTATCGTCAGCACATTTGGGTTGCTTGACCTTTGGTCAAGGTAGATGACAAGGACAGGGACAAGTAAGAAAAGTCCATCAATGCAGCATAGCTTCTGTTTTCTTTTCAATTGTCCCCCAATGTATGGGGGATTGTTTACTGAAGGACCATGGTATTGCACTTGTAATGGCCAAGCAGTTGGCTGTTTTTTAGGACCTTTGTATTGGCTCTGACTTAATCCAGGATCACACTTTTTCCAAGTGTGTGATGGCTGTTGATTTCGGACATTGTGGAGTGAGTATTGATCACTGTGGTGTGACCTTCGTCTGTGTGTCTATAAAACTCACTTTCATGTTCTAGTGGATACATTCAAGATTTATGATCTATTTGAGGTTATCCAAAATCATTTTCCAAATTTACTCAATTAAGAATCTTATGTCAGTTCTGGCCACTTCTTCCTATAAATTCATAAGTTGGTACCTTACAACCCCTTGACAAAATACAAGGATATAAACTGACCATTTTGGGCTATAAGAAAGAAGAAAGGATGAAGATCTTGGGTATCTGTAAGACACTGGACAATGTCCAGAACTCTCACATTAACTCATTCAGATGTCATAGGCACTCACTTTTACTTTCAGAGAAAGCCTAAGGATTGCCCTAGGAAAATGAGGCTCAGGAGAGACTCAGATCAAATCTAGTCACTTCATATATCCATCTCATATCTAGAAGGAAACAAACATTTTGGTTGGCTCCAAAATTCAGATTCCTTCTCTGTTCATCTGCTGTTTTCAGTGTATCTTCCTAAAATTAAGTTGATTATAGTGAAATATAATCAATTAGCTAATAAGGTAGTAAAAAAGTAATGACCATACATTTTAACAGGATATAGAAAATAGCAATAAATTGTTACTGAATATCCAGGGACAAATGTAAAGTTTGTCAATGTACTTTTATCTTCCTGTTTGTGGTTATTAATGGTTAAAACTATTTTTATTGTTAGTTTTGGCTATGTATTCGCCTACTTGGGGAGATGGAGAAGAATATAGAGTCTTTTCAAGTTAACTGTCCCATCTGTATCTGGAACCTGGGTGACTAACTCTTAGCTACATTATGGCTGCCCAAAACCAGTGGAGACTTTCTGAATATGCCGACTACCCATCAGGTTCCTGGAACACAGCGGCTGTGTGGACTCAGAATTGCTTGGTAGCTGGTAGATTCCCTTTACGCACTCATTGCTCCTTGCCTACTTGGGCCTTTTACATTTATCTTAGTATTTCAACAATTTCTTGATCCTGCAAACTTGTTACCCACCATCATTTTATTTCTGGGGGCATGTTCCCAGAAAAGAAAAAGTATTCAAGGGCTAAGTACCAGGAGACTCATTTCTATCCTCAACCCATTCATCTAGCAGTGGGAACTGGGCATTTGGACATTTTGTTTTCTTAGAGTTTCATATTCACTCATTCTCCAAACATTAATAATAATTATCTGTTCACCATGTGCTTCCATACTATGGCATGACATGCTCCATAGATGTGGCAATCATTCAAACATGGGTGGAAGTCAACCAGGTAACCTGAGGTATTTCATAACTGGGGGAGGAGGAGAAATTTATTACATGATGCCTGTTCATGCCACTTGAAAATGGCTAAAGAAAACAAAAATTAAAGTAACGGTCCAATCTTCATAGTTTACATAAATAACTGTAGAGTATATTGTTTGCTTTACCCTGGCTGGTGCTCTGCACTAATATAGAAAACAGGCTTCCTGCTTCTAGTAACTATGAGGAATTCAGTACATCTTCAAAAATTGCCTAAAGTACAAATATTTAAGGCCATTGTTTAATTTTTTTTAATTTTACAAAGTATTCAATATTGATACCCCTCACAAACACATATGAAAATAAAACACACATAAAAAATTTAAATTTGTCTTTTAATATATCTATGAGAATATGGGTATGGTAGAAAGGAGGCAAATCAGAACAATGCAAAATTGATTGTTTGAAGAATTGTAAAGGAGAACTTTTCCCACCGTAGGTCAGAAACGCACTCAAGGCAAAATCCTCACTCTACAGCCATAGCAATTCCTCACTGTACAGTCTCTACAGTTGGTCGTTATTACCTCCTCTCCAGTTTTTATCTCAGCCCTACAATGAGTGAGGGATTGTTATCCCTGTTAGAGCCACTGCTCCGTGAGCCTCTAAAAGAGGAAAAACATGACGGTTTAGATTTCTTCCTACTAACAGTGTAGCTCAGACAGCAAGGGTACATGGCTGTATCCATTGATTACATGGCTAGAGCTTTTATATAACTACTAGATTTGTACGAACACACACACACACACACACACACACACACACACACACACACAAGGCTTGTAGAAAGTCAACACCACAGTGGCTTGGATTCTGCGGTTCTCCCACATAGAACCGCTCTTGGCATGCACTGGGTGTTCTCACAGCTCATCTCATCTGAGGAAGTGTATTTATATCTTGGGGGTATCTGTGGGACATTAGGGTGTGCTGTCAAATGCCTCCAATGATTGACTCTTTCTGGTATTTTCTGTGCATCCCAAATGGCTTGGAATGCTGTAAATGGAAGGCTTCATTTGCAAATTGAGTTTAGTGTCTTTCTGGTCTTCATCAGCCTGTGTGCCTCACTCAGTTCTTTCCTCTTTTTCCTGGTTATTAAGACTTATTTAAGTTGAAAAACGAGAGAGAAAGAAGATGGAGGAAACAATAGAAGAAAAGAAGTGTGTATATATTCCCTCTCACAAATGAGATGGTAAACACTCTACTGTGTATCGTCCAGAAAACAATGATTTTTGTGATGGCTTTGCAGTCCCTCCTTGGTTAGGACTCTAGGTCATTAACCATGAGGAGTATCTGGTACATACATAGTTCTAGGCCAGGTTTTCATCCCAGACCTGTTGGAAATGACTGGTCCTGCTTTCTCGGTGTCCCGCGTTGACCATCATTCCCATGTTTGTGTTCCTAGGACCTCGATGCAGTCTCAGTCTTCATATGGTAACAGCTCCCCACCTCTGAACAAAATGAACAGCATGAACAAGCTGCCTTCCGTGAGCCAGCTTATCAACCCACAGCAGCGCAACGCCCTCACCCCTACCACCATGCCGGAGGGCATGGGAGCCAACAGTAAGCATCTCTCTCTTGAGCTGCCAGAGGATGAACAGGGCTAGTACAGGAGAAGATGCTTTAGGGTGGCCAAAAATGTTCTTCCCTAAGCTAAGTGCCATAGAGCCAGAGGGGAACCACAGTTGGCTGACTCGGCTTTCACAGTTAACTTCTCATTCTTGAGGGTTGAGTATGGGTTTCATCACCAAACACCCTAGTAGAGATAGACGTGGGGTGAGGATCTTCCCTCAGGAGGGATAAGGATCTCTGAGACGAGAACAGTTCACTTCCTGCCAGCCTGGAGGGAGGCTCGCCACCGAGCACCTCTAACACAGTCTAAAAGAAGTGCAGCTGAGGTGACCGGAGGAGGGTGCTGGGCTAGACGGAAAGCAGGGTAATAAAACTGATCCTCCTCTGGACTCGTGCAGAATTAGCTGTGCAACTGCAAACAAGTTAGTTCTTTGCTCTGCTGCTCTCTGCCTCTAAAATGATCACCCCACACATTTAGCATTTTACTTCACTCCATATGATGTAAGCAGGGAATCAATCCATAACGGTTTCCCCTTTACTTCTGTATACAAATTCCATATAGTAACTAGGCATAGATATAAAAGGCAGTGCAAAATAGATGATAATTGGCACATAGCTTTGCTATAACCAGATTTACTTTGTTATAAGTAAGTCTAGCAAACAGGACGCAGACACTTGAATGAAATAAAGAATAGTAAAAAAAAAATGTAGAAGGATAAATAATATCATCAGGAACAGAGAGAACGCATAGTTGCTAAAATTCCCACTCAGTGAAAAAACAAGGACCTACCATCTAGTCCTTCCAAATCCCGAATGATTGGGACCAAACCTTTCGGCTTCTTTTTCTTTGGAAAGCCCAGCCTATCTGAAGGAAGCTGAGGGAGCCTGTTGATTTTTCAGCATGAGATAGCGCTGCAAGAGGGACTTGACAACAGACTGCCCTCTCACGATAATCCACCCTGAGGTCCCAAACCTGACAGCGCAAAGAGAAGCCATCCCATGTGGTTTTCTTTCTGGTAACACAATTAAAATGTCCCTGTTTGTTCAAGGGACAAGATAGTGGTAGCAACAACAGCCTTTTACATTTACACAACTTTCAATCACTTACATTTTATTTCTCTGAGGCACTCAGAGAAGTCTGAGGGGAAGCAGGTGAAGAAGCTCAGGACAGTGCTTTGCAGCTGACTGCATCACAGCAGGGGTCTTTCCCTGAACCCCTCTTCTGGTTACTAAAGCAGACGCAAATTATATCCTTATGTTCTAGATAAATTGTTGCCCTAGTTTTTGACCACAAAGCAAAATTTGTTTCCTAAATTTTGTTAGTACTAAGCTTTTTTTTTTTTTTTGGGGGGGGGGGTGTCAGTGAATGCTTGAAGCTCATGGTTTTGAAAAATGCCCAAAGTGTTGGTGAATTCAGTGGATTATGTAGCAGAGGCAGAATCTAGAATTGTGTTTTTTTTCACTAGGCATAAAGTTCCCAAACGAATACCATAGTAAGTCCTCCTGTTTCCAAACACACCTTATGGACACGCATTGGTAACATTTCTCTCAGTGTAAGCTTTTGGGCATCTCACTGTGCCAGGAAGTGTGCTGTGTCTGCGGGGTCAGAAACAGTGATAACAGCCAATCTGTGAGCTACAGGAGATGAGTGCTGTAAGAGAAAGTGAAATACAGCCATGCTGGCCAGTAGAAGGAGAAAAGCATCAACTTAGGAGAAAAAAACAATTAGAAGAAGAAAAAAAAAAAAGGTGAGAAGAGAGTCCGAAGAGAACAAAAGTCCAGAAAGCTGTAATTAGTTTGGAATTCCAATTCTATTTTGCTGGACTAGGCATAGAGTGTGTGACGGGATAGAGAGAAATTAGGCCACCCCTCCCCACAAAAACAAACAAACAAAAATAAGACAAAAGAAAAAAAAAAAACCCCACAGCTTTCTGGTAATACTCAACAAGGCAAGCTAGACCCCTGGATGCTGGGAAATGATAACCTAGTAACCCTTTCTATTCCTCCCGCTTCTGTTCAGTTCCTATGATGGGCACTCACATGCCAATGGCTGGAGACATGAATGGACTCAGCCCCACCCAAACCCTCCCTCCCCCACTCTCCATGCCATCCACCTCCCACTGCACCCCCCCACCTCCGTACCCCACAGATTGCAGCATTGTCAGGTGAGTGCACAGCCTGGGCTCCGGGGGTCAGTCCTGGGCATCTGTGGGTGGCGGGGAGACACTGGCGAAGCTGGTGAAACGGTTGAGAAGAAAGGATGCTGCTGTCTTGTGACTTCAGGACGTGGAGTTTGATCCACAGGGTGCCGAGCATAGCTCTGTCGAGAATGCCTACAACCGGTGTGGGGAAAGTGAAAACGTGTGTATGTGCACACAGGTTTCAGACCCGTTTCACGGTCTTTGTTTATTCCCTTCTCCTGCCTCCTGTTTTTATAGGTCAGTTGTGGCCCATAAATTGGTGCTCAGGGCTGGGTTTCCCCAGAGGGACATAAACGGGCTGTCCTGCTCCCTTTCCTGCTCTCTAGGCCTTGTAGCTCTCATGCACCATGGGACCATAATTTTGGAGTTGGATGTCTATAAAAAAAGGTTTAACATTAGCAAAAATCTGTAATTTGAAGAACCTCTGCCACTCTGCTGGGAAATGGGGACACTATAGGTTTCCTGTGGACAGACGCTAACAAAACGTAAATGGTGTTTCTCACAGAGGCACATGCTTAGGGCATGTCCTCTGCTTCCAGGGACGCATGCGTTGATCCTTTGGCTGCTGGTAGAGTAGTAGGTTTTGTCCATGTGCAATTTTAGCCACAGAGATGGTGTGCTACATGGCTTAGCTCAGCAGACGTTGACCCTGGGACGATAGTGACATCTCCAGTCTCAGGCTAGCACCACAAAGAGGAATATCTATGTTTCCAGGACATACATCAAGAAGTATTGATATTCTAGAGTACTAGCCTGCGATGTTTTAACTGCCTAAAGCATTCTAAGAAGCCCCCAAACACCAAGTAGTCAATGTAGAGATTCCCAATTTGATGCGATGATCCAGGAGGCAAGGGGTCTGGGGACCTGACCACTGGACCCTGCACCTGTACCCTCTGTGATGGCTCCTGCTGCATTTGTACAAAACCTTGGGCCACCTCAGATCACCAACTGAAAAATGACCGCCTTCTAGAATGCTGACACTTGATTTTTGTTGTCAGTTTACCTAAATTTCGAGTTTCCAACAGTCCTCAAACCTTAAATCCAAGGCCCCCACATACTTCCTTGGCCCCCAGTCTCTTATGCAGGGCATCCAAGGGCAAAATGTTGGGTTTTCCTTTACCTCGCCAATGCAGTTGGGGTGAACTCTCTTTTTCTGTTTCCTCCTTCCTCTTCCCTCCTCCCTCTGCAGTTTCTTAGCAAGGTTGGGCTGTTCATCATGTCTGGACTATTTCACGACCCAGGGGCTGACCACCATCTATCAGATTGAGCATTACTCCATGGATGTAAGTAACTGTTAGACTTTTCTCTACAGTAAAATTTCTTCATTTTTTCTGCCTCCGGGACATATGCCTCGTAGTTCCATCCACGCTCGTTTTAAACTTTGTTTTGGTCATGCTTCTAATCCTCAATTCTGATGAAATTATAACCCTGTTAGAAAGATTCTCTAGGTTAGAAGCTCAGCAATCACTAAGCTTGATTGTTAAGCTGTGGCTTATTGCACCCAAGAGTATACAAATGGTAAAGAAAATATTGAATTTATGTAATCAAGACATTTTAGTCTTAAGACAGGTGGCTGAAACCAAGTAACTGGGAGGCTGAAGCAGGAGGATTACCTCACCTCAGAAGTTTGCAACCTGCTTGGGCAACATAGTGAGGCTTGATCAGAGACTGGTTAAAATGTTCTCATTAGTTAATTTCAATCACCAAGGAGGAGAGCAAGGAGATTGTGTAATTCTCATTTACAAATGACAAAATTGTCATTGGCCATGGTGAGTTGATGGTAGAATCATAAAGATAAGCCTGGCTATAAATCTCCAGCCTGTCACCCTCTTCACTGGCCTTTCCCACCTCTCCTTAAAGTAGGGCTTTAAGGATGAGTCAACTGTGCCTTTCAGTACTGTATGATCCTGCATTCGTTTGTAAATCTGTCAGCCCAACTCCTTGCCCCTATCATCAGGAATGATTACTGGCCATAAGTTTGAGTCCTGGGCATGGATTTTAGTAGTAATGACATTCAAGGCTGTCACTTTGCCTCTCTGGGCCTCAGTTAACCCAGCTGAGTTAGAAGTCGCTCCCCTCCGGTTTGGATAGTCTTTAAAACAAGCTGTATGTGATGGAACTTTCTCATGCTTTCCACCCCATTTCCTGGGCTTCTGTGACGTGGGAGCTACTTTGTTTGCATTTTCAGCAACCTGATCTTCCTCCTCCCTCCTTGGCTGGCTGCCTTCTGCTGCTCTCTTTGGCATTTGCTATCCTCTGTTCTAGCTTCCAGATGGCACTTTGGACTGATGGGAAGAGATAGTCTCTGCCTCTGCTGCTGCTTCTGTGGTAGGGACGCCTTCCCTCCTTGAGCACCGATGCTAGAGATGCCCCTGTGGCATGAGAATGCCCCAGCCCTATAGAGCAGTGTGTACCATGCTGCCTTATGCCCATCCCTCCCGACTCCAAAAGTCACCCCCAGTAAAAACTTATAGAGAACACTTTGAGTATGGACTTGGATTGCCTTAAAACCACATTTCTCCATGGATGAAAACAGAGCAGGCCTGTATTTGAGAAACACCTGTAGTGGAGTCCTATGTGGTGAGACAGGGAGTCTGATGCTTCCCTGGGTCTTTACATAATATTTAGTTGTAGACTTGGCCCCTGAGGGGAGTTCCAGGATTCTCCTGAAGCCATTAATGTTCACAGGTACTTCCCACAAATCTCTCTGTGTTGGTGTCGCCTTGTAGTGGTGCTGAGATTACAAAGGATCTTGGGCTCATTCAGAGTTTCAGAGGTATAAAGAATGCAAGAAGTAATAGAGCATGCTAACTTAATCTATTTGTGGATTGTCTTCTTTACAATGTTTTCTTCTACTACAGAAGAAGTTAGAGTAGCTGTGATGGTCTGAAACCCATATAATGAGGCAAGTTTCTGAGTTGGAAAATTTTGTAAAGCTATTCAGTTTTCTCATCTTCCCCTCAGCATCTCTGTGCTCATTTCTGGAAACAGACACCTCTTGTGTCTTTGAAGTAGTCTGTTATTTTAGTGTCCCTTTGTGGTAGAGAATTTGAATACAGTGAGATCTTCAGAGGCAAAGCTGAGTTCATAGTATAAATGATAAACATTATAGTGCGTGTTTTAGAATTTATATAACCTCATACCCACACTTGCCTATGAGCCCATAGTATCTAAAATGCAAAGAAGCAATTGTACCCAATGCATCCAAGTAGGACAACTAAGATCAGGGTCCATCTGCCAAGCTGCTTCCTGACCACCTTGCTGCTTCGTTGAACTGAAACATATTAAACAAACTAGGGCCAATAAATGCAAGACATGGACCACACCTACTTAAGATTAACTCTATTGGAAAGACCTCTGGTCCCTCCCATAGTGCATGGATACAACCACTGTGCATTTTGATGTATTTTATCTACACACCATAAGACTTTTCGGTCCATAGGATAATTTGAGGCTCAAAAAGTCTTCCTAATTTCACAATTTATTTACCTTGTTATATAACTTCAAGGCTTGTTAACCTAATCTTCCATTTTTTTCTATCCATAAAATAGCTAAAATAATAGACAACAATAATTGCGGGATTCAATAGGATTATGAATATAAACTAAACACTTTGGTGCTTGGCACATAGGAAACTCTCAGTCCCTATTAGAAATCTTTCCCTTCTTCCCCCACTGTTAGTGACACTCCATTAATACCTTTCTTCTGGTGGCTAAAGCCCTGTAGATTGGAATCATGGAGAATCTTACATTTCTTCTTGAGATTTTTGCTCTCTTATTTAACTACTGTCCACACTATTTTACACATGGAGAAGTTGAGGTCAATGAAGAACAAGTGAATTGTCCACACCACATGTAACACAGCAGGGTCCTACCTGTGTTCTCAGTAACATAATATATGGAAGACTGTCAGAAAGCTAATTTTATTTGCCAAATTAGTGATAATAAATTCAGATCATTTAAGCCAAAATACCAAGGAATGGAAAACAGCACGTGGTAAAAGTCTAGGTGTCTGCCTTCTAACGCCTGGCCTCCTTCCTGTTGCACAGGATTTGGCAAGTCTGAAGATCCCTGAGCAGTTCCGACACGCCATCTGGAAGGGCATCCTGGACCACAGGCAGCTGCACGACTTCTCCTCACCCCCGCATCTCCTGAGGACCCCAAGCGGTGCCTCTACAGTCAGCGTGGGATCCAGTGAGACCCGTGGTGAACGCGTGATTGATGCCGTGCGCTTTACCCTCCGCCAGACCATCTCTTTCCCACCCCGCGACGAGTGGAATGACTTCAACTTTGACATGGATTCCCGTCGCAACAAACAGCAGCGCATCAAAGAGGAAGGGGAATGAGCGGCCATTGCTGGGCTCTTCGTGTCTTCTTCCACCTCCCAGCCCCAACAGGGCACATCTGCTTGATCTTCAAAGCATTCTTGCTAGCTCTTTTGATTTTCCTTCTCAGTCTGGTTTCTAAAGGGACGGAGAAGTAAGAGGCAGCCTGTTGCCTAAAGTCTGACCTGTTACTTGATTCTGATTCTGGCTTTAAGCCTTCCAAACTCTTGCTTGTAGGATGCGTTGTCATTGCTAGATAGAAGTTAGCAAAGAAGCAGCGGGTCTCTTTAAGCAGTGGAGAACTCTCATTGACTTTTATAAAGCATTTTCAGCCTTATAGTCTAAGACTATATATATATAAATATAAATATATAAATATACAATATATATTTTGGGTGGGGGCATTGAGTATTGTTTAAATGTAATTTAATGGAAATTGAGTTGCACTTATCAACTTCTTGGAAATTTGTTTGTTTTGGATGACTGGTCTGTACCCCCTTTCTCAGGGGTATCATGTATGGTGACAAATATCTAGAGTTGAGTGGTCTATGTGAGTAACAGTGATGTACAGGTCCTCTTGGTTCTTTGGATGTTTAGTGTTTAGCATTTAGCACATCAAACCTATGGATGCATCCAGCATGTTTACCATTGCTCACTATGAGGTAAAGCTGTATATATGTACACAGTTTGCTCTGTCAGTATATTTTATGTTACTGGTGTCCATCCCAGTTAGGCTGATTCACTCTGTGGCTATTACAAGCAAAATTTCATGTTCACTTTGTCACATGTTATAGGAAAGGACAACCTCTCCTGCTTTTGTTTGAGAAGGAGGAATGCAGTTTATTCTGGAAATTCTTAAATGGTCCAAGTCAGCCATTCCAAATATCAGATGGGATATAGCCAAATATAGCAATGGCCCCTTGAAATTTAAGGCCCAACACTCTAGTATTTATTAGGAAAATATTTGCTGCCATTAGAGGAGCCTTAAAACTAAATTTCCCTACTAGGCTGATCAAGTAAAATACACATTCCCTGATTTTGTAAGAATTTAGGCCAATTAGTCAGAATGAGTGGAAATTAAGTACTTTTTATGGGAAGTTGTAGTATCTATTAGGAATATTCAAGCTAAACAAGCATGACTCAAAAATACTGACTCTCCACTAAAAAAGAAAGCTGTCCCATCAAACTATGAATTTAAATTCCTTTTGAAGCATGGAGTGATGCTTAGGAAATACACCTTTTAAAGACTTTCCTATCCATAAGACACTGCATGCAGAGACTAGTTTACCTCTCTTCAAAGCCTAAAATAAGAGTAGTGGGTTGGAAAATCCAAACTTAGGCATGCAGTTTTCATGTGCCTTGAGCTGCACTACTATCCTTTTCTTCTAGACTATCAAAGCTCCATTGCTTTGGAAAGCAGGTTTGAAGATCCAGTTTTCCACCCAGCTCCTTCCAGGTTATGTGTAGACATAGAAATGTCCACAAATCAAGGAAAATGCTTTTCACTAAAACTGTTTAAGGCACATCAACAAAGACTTGTTTTCCACTTTGTGAAAGTATGCAACAGTCAGTCTTCCTCCTGGATGCTTTGGAAACATTTTGAGACAAATCTGTTTCTTCCTGATCTAAAACTTGTGCTATGTATATGATAATGAGCTCTACAATCCTCCCATCTATTTTGGTAAAGGGCTGCCACTCATTGCGCATGAGAACTCATTTTTATTTTAAAGTGCAAATGGGCAATTATGCCTCTGAAATGTAATGTATGGATTTCACGAGAAAATCTTATATTGTATATGTGCGTGTGTGAAATTGCGTACTGTGCTGTTTTTGCTTGTTTTGGTTTTCTCTTTGGGATAGTTGGGTTTTCCAGAACCACAGCTGAAACTTTTTTGTTGTTACTGTTTTTCTTTTTTTTTTTGCAAAAGAATACCATTTAGTGAGAATACAGTGTCAAATAAGACATGATACCTTAATTGTAAGATGGGGGGAAGGGGAAAGTTGTTTTTTAATTTTTTTTTAAATTTTTGTATGCTAAAGAGAATGAGTCCTTAATTTCAACCTTTTGTTGTGTTTAAATAATGATAAACATTATTAATTTCTGTAACAAGCTCACGGCTTTGCAAATTCAATAGGTGGAGAATGAAGTTATGTCTTGGCCAGGTCAGGAAGACAAATGGCTTCCTGGGTATTGTGAGCATTTGGGCTGTTTTAGCACTGTTAGGGTGGCACTGGGGACTCTGAGGCATTTCAGCACTATTTAGGTGGCACTAGGAACTCTAAAATTTCTGTACTGTATCCGATGATTTTGGCATTAGCCATTAGCCATAGGTAGGCACAGTTCCTCTCCTCACACCAGTGTTAAGGTGTGTGAGCACCCAAGGCTACGGTCAAAGGCATGGGGAACAGATGTCTGCTCAATGACTCACTGGAGAATGGGATTCCTTTGCTTGGGGATGAAGGGAAGAGGAGAGAAAGTGGGGTGCTCTTTCTTCATCCATTTAGCTTTTGTTTGCTTGATTTCCCCCAAATATATGTGTGGGATGTTGAATATGAAAAATATGTGGGTTTTTTATTTTTATAATTGTACAAAAGTAAGCAAATGTCAAATGTTTTATATACTTTATTAATGTTTTTTTCAAAATGTACTTTCTTATAGACGTGATACTTTTTTTTACACCTTCAGTTGCTTGTCTGTTGGTATTTTGTGTTCCGGGCTATGGTGAGCCTGAGGCAAATCTATAAGCCACTTTTGTTTGCCAGGACATGCAATAAAATCTAAAAATAAATGAAAATACATTAAGAAAATGTTGGGGTTTTTTGTGTGTGTGTGTATGTGTGTGTCCATCCTTTCAACCTCTGACCTTATTTCTCTTACTGTAGAAGAGGAAGAAATACTTCACTTGAGGTCAACAAGAGTTTGCTATCCAAGAAAGGATGAGACTGTAGCATGTCCTAATTTTATTTTACTTTTTGACTTTTTTAAAATTGAAAATAGATTTTATCGTTCATACAATATATTCTGATCATTATTTCCCTTCTTTAATCTTGTTCCAGATCCTCCCCACCTACCCAACTCTACATCTTCTTTCCTCTCTCACTCTCTTTAGACAACAGGCAGGAAAAATGCACATAACTCACACACAGAAAACCCCTAAAAACACAACATTTGAAACTATAACATATAAGCAAAAGACTTATAAGGTTAAAAAGAAAAAAGCCCAGACAAAACATTAATGAAACAAACAAACAAAATCTCCCAAACTACCATACTATTGAGTATGTATGGCGTTGGCAGTCTACCGATAGCTAGGCATGAGGTCTGTCATTGAGTGGGGTTTGTATACCGAGTGAGACTCCATTAAAGAAACATAATTTTTCCTTGGAAAGTGGTTGTCAATTGGAGACAGCATCTTGATTAGGGATGGGAGATCATGCCCACCGACAACCCTCAGAGCTGGGGCTCCATCTGGCTTGGACCTTGTGCAATCGCTGCACCTGCTTCCACAGTCTCTGCAAGTTCCTATGTGCATCAGTCCTGATGTCTGGAAGGCCTTGTGTCTTTGGTGTCTTCCATCCCACTGGCTCTTCCAATTTTTCCACCTTCTCTTCCCTGAGCTCTAAGGGAAGAAGCTTGATGGAGCATCCCATTTAGGACTCGGTGTTCCAAGGTCTCTCACTCTCTGCACATTGTCCAATTGTCTCTGGTTTTCCCCATCTACTGTAGGAAACTTCTCTGATGATAGCTTAGTAAGAGTTATGTCCTAATTTTAGCAAAATGGCTGTCCCATGATGCTTAAATAGCCTCCTCAACACTGAAGGAATGCTGGGTAGGTCACCCTGGTAGTGTGAGGAGACACAGTGAAGACGGTGGCCTCGGAGGAGGACAGACCAGACAATACCTTTCCATCAGGTACATAGATTATCCATTAAAATAACCGCTCTCCAACAAAACGGTCTAATGAACTTTATTAAATCGAAAACTTTATCCTCTTGTAGACTGAACTAGAATGCCATGAGAATAATACCCCAAATATTTCAAGAACTGTGCAGACTATTCAGTGTATATGTGAAGAACAACATCTGTCATGTGGATGAATGTAATTTCGAAAACATAGTCAAGGAAGATGAATCTTACATTATTTACTGAAAACTGGTGATAGTTGCTCTAAAACAAATTGGTTTGGTAGCCCGCATATGAGAAAGAGAGAACGCAACTGTGCAAATGATTTGTGCTTGATGTACACCACAGAATATTGGACGCCTTTCTTTGTTGAAAAGTTACAAGTATGTACAAGAGAACCAAATTTATTTTCTTCCAGTTGTCAGAGGATCTCTTAAACGCTTTACAAATCTAAAGTAGATTCTGGAACTTTAATGATCTCTCTTCATATCTTGAGAAATTTTCTATGATTTGGCATTCTAGAAACTGTCTTATCCTTATCAATAAATTCAATACCTCCCCCTCCAAAAGCTAATAATGTTTTCCTTTCTTTTATTTTGAGACTATAATATAATCACATCATTTCTCCCTTCCTTTTTCTTCCTTCAAACCCTCCCATCTACCCCCCTCCTTGCTTTCTTCTAAACTCATGGCCTCCATTTTCAGTAAGTCTCACCAACATGTCTTTTAAAATAAAATAATGAAACCATTCTAGAGTGCGCCTTCCATTTAATGTGGTATCCGCTAGCTATGTGTGACTACTGAGCCTTTAAATGGAGCTCATCAAAACTGAGATCATAAGTGCAAAATACACATGCACTTCCAGCAATTTAGAATGAAAATAATTTTCCATCATTTTGTGTTGATTACATGTTGAGACGACAGTATCTTAGAATTACATGTTGAAAAGATAATCTTGAGTTAGATTTCTTTAATTTTAAAAGTTTCCTTTTTAGATGCCTTCACACATTTAAAATAATATGACACTTATTGTAGCACTATTGTATTAACTAGCATACCAAATGGCACAGTAAGAACACAGAAGGAAGATGACATAAATATACTATTACATACTTGCATAGTTTTGTACAGTGGTACCCATAAATATTATATCACCTTTAAAGAAGGCTTAGAGTAATACAAGTATAATATCTCTGCAGTCAGAATTTTATGTTCTAAATGATACAAAGATTAAAATAGTCAAAAGGTAGTTCAAGCTTGTCAAACTAGAAGAAAAATGTAGCATGATGGTGAAATTGTTCACATAAGTTAGTCTACAGACTGAGTCTTCACCCCTGATATCCTAAATAGAACATGATGGTGAAATTGCTCACATAAGTTAGTCTACAGACTGAGTCTTCACCCCTGATGTCCTAAATAGAACATGATAGTGAAATTGTTCACATAAGTTAGTCTACAGACTTGAGTCTTCACCCCTGATGTCCTCAATTTAGTTTCTCAAGCACAAAGTTCAGTGGATAAGCAGTTTATATATCTGGATAAAAATGACAACTTCAATGAGTACTGGCAGCACACACCTTTAATCTCAGCACTCAGGAGGCAAAGGCAGGCAGATTCTGAGTTCAAGGCCAGCCTGGTCTACAGAGTGAGTTTCAGGACAGCCAGGGCTACACCGTGAAACCCTGTCTCGAAAAACAAAATGACAACTTCATTCAGAGGGTCATTTGAGAGGAAGAATTTTACCATGTAATATCTTTACAACAAAAGCCTGGTCATCCCACTTTTGTAGCACATGTGGTAATATTTTCTCGCCTCGAATGATTCCTGGAGACCAAATATTATGACATACTTCACAAGTACACAAATGCTAACAAAAGAATCTGCCAAAAGTCATTGGAAATAAGCAAATGATATGAAATTTAACTCAAACGAAAAGTCTAATTAGTGTTTGTAAATCCAAAATTTAAAATATTTTGAAAGCAAAGGACATGAACACCCCCTCTTCCAAACAATTAGGATCTATAAATTGTTCCCAAAATGTCTTTGGTATTTTGGATTTCCATGATACAAATATAAGAGATACAGTCAAAAGCGACAAAACCCAAGAATACCCACAAAATTATATGTAATTCCTATTTATAAGGCAAATACGTTCCACATTGCATGCCAGCTCACAAGCAATTTATTTCATTAAGATTGAGAAAATAGAAAAACAAATGACCAAATCTCTTTTGAGTTTGTTTTCTACTATTTCTTTGGTCTTCCTATTTCATTCATAAGATTACTAAAATGTGTGAGAGCCAGCGGACGCAGGAAATCTGCCGAGAGACCGTTTCCCCTAGAAATGATGGAGAAAAACCCCTGGGATACCTCAGCAAGCGTGGCTGTGCAACAAAGCCCTCAACACAGACGGGGCCTCAACAGCAGACAGGCTAACGGGAAGGGGGAGAACGTGGTGGGATGTGTAGATTGCATTCTGACAATAAAGTGTGCTTTGAATCAGAGGGCAGAGCTAACTACTAGCTGACCAAAATTAACCATAGAGGTTTTGGAGAACTGAGGACCAATAGACAGACAGGATGCGGTAAAGCAAGGCTGAGAGAGGATCTCAGCTTTCTGGATGGAAGATAGGAGGTCACTGGTGGCTCCTCTGCCTCCTCTCTCTGGTCATTCAGGTTCTTACCTTGATATTTGACTCTCGATTTTTTGTTGATAAAGAATAGTTAGAAGCACATCAGGAAAATCTCACAAGACAAAGAACTATAGCCAACTAAGGAATGCTGAGAGCAAGAAAATCAGTTTTCTTTAGAAGTGAGTCCCTTAATTGGTTATCCACTACCAAGTGGTCAGCCCTGGAATCATATAGTTTCAAGTAACTCTAAATGGACTCAGCTGGTTGTATGTATGCTCTTGTGTGTGTGTGTGTGTGTGTGTGTGTGTGTGTGTGTGTGTGTGTGTGTAGATATATATAATACATGATATATGTAACAATAGCACAAAAAGAGGCTATGAATTTGAAAAGGAGCAAGGAGAAATGGGAGGGGATGGAGGAGGGAAAGAGAAGGAAGGAAATGATATAATTATATTTTAACTTTTTAAAAAAAGTACTAAAATGTGAAAACTAGAAATAGTTAAGGCCACAAAATAACGAATGATGATAGCTCTTGTTATGACTTAATTAACATTAATAGTTACGAGCACCAAAAGCCTAATTTTGACAAAATCTGCTTGAGCTATCTAAATTTTTCATAGTATTTTTGAGATGCAAGGCTATGTTTTAGCTTTTAGGTGCTGTGGTTGATTTAGCTAGTATGATAATACAGCGATCCTAGTTGGTAAGTAATTCTTGATAGTAAGGTAAGGTTATGTGAGAAAGGACGGCACTAGAATAGTGGTACACACCAGACCTGGAGAATATAGCCAGACTCTCGAGCTGAACAGCCACAGCCCAACACACATAGTGCTCAGTCTCCTTTTAAATGCTTTTTCTCATTCATGTCTGCAGTTCTCTGAGTAGGTGTTCTAAGACACAGGACATGTGCTTCCTAAGTACAGTGCTCCCAACACTTGCTCTCTACCTGAAGAAGATGTAGCACCAACTATCATTTTTCTGAACTGGATTGACAGTATTCAATTTTTAAGAGTTATTAAGTTATGCTTATTAGTGGATTTGCATAGATAAATGCGGTGGCAGTGTGGCAGGAATATAGGCCTAAAGAAGACTGGTGACTCAGATGAGATGCTTAAAATCTGTAAGATGTGAAGAACCTTGAACCCATAACTTGTCATTATTTCAGTAATATCTTTTTGGAAGTAAACTAAAGGATGACAGAAAAAAAATCAGCAAAAACAAAGTCATACTATTG